TGTGGCTCAAGTGGTAGAGTGCTAGCCTTGAGCTGAAGAGCTGAGGGACAGCGCCCAGGCCCAGAGTTCAGGCCCCACGACCGGACCCAAAAAAAAAAAAAGAATAAGCTGGTTTTTTTTTTCTCCTCTACCAAAGCATCATCTTCCAAACATCCACATTTCAATTCAGTCCAAAAATTACAGATCCTTTATTGGAAAAAGGTTTCCATGGTGACATGCAAGTGTTTTTTTTTCAATTCTTAGTAATTCTTTTAATATACTTTTATAAACAAAATATATTGTATACAAGTGGAATAAGGAGAAGTTATATTTATGGAAAAACTTAAAGAAGAAAGCTATGTCAACAGAAATTTTATAACGATTTGATACTTGCTCTGCAAACTTTTTAAGAAGTTATTTTAAGTGTTTCATTTATAAACAAAGATGGCATGAAGCACCCATAGCTATACATGCAAGATCAATCTGAAAGAGCTGCAATACCTCATCAGGTCTACCGCAAAGCTCACAATTTCATTATCCAGGTGATGCAGACAATGATATTACCATTAATTACATTGTCATTGGTTATACAATAATTTAACACCTGAAAAAATGTTCATGTTTTACTATTGATCTTAGAAACACCACATTAAAGAAACAGAGCCTTTCTGATCATTTTGTTTTGTTTTGGTTTTGCTTTTATTCAGACAGAGTCTCTCATTTTTGCCCCTGCTGTCCTGGACTGTGATTCTCCTATCTCTCTCTCCTACATTGATAGGATAACTGGCAAAACCCCACCATACTCAGCTTGTTAGTTGAAATGGGTTCTCACTAACTTTTTGCTCAGAATAGCCTTGAACCAATCCTCCAGATTTCCACATCCCAAGTAGCTAGGATTATAGGTATGAACCACCATGCCCAACTGCATTTCTGTCTTAAAGATTCTATCAAGTATCTTCCAAAGTTCAGTATCTTTCATACTAATATCTCAGTCTTGAAATAAAAATATTCTGAAGTTAAATTTTCCTGTCTTGCTTTAGTCAGAATTTCTAGACACTGAACTACCCCCAAAAATAGTAACACCATGGTTACAATAACCAGATTCACATTCTCCCATAAACTCATTTTCACATAATCAATCTGGAACAACATCCCTGAATCTTTGGATCCATGTCTATATATTTTGTAAAATAAGCACAAAAAAGAAGCACCTGACTAGCATAATAGAATATGGCTGTAAAAGCTGGTACTATAATTTATTCTGAGACTTAAAAGTAACAAAGAGAGGCTACTATTGATTTACCAGAATGATGATGAGACATAAAGTCAAAACCAAGGTAAAAAGAAACCTAGAAGAACAAAATAAACATATTAATCAGATCAACAACTGGGTTAGTTCAAGATTTGTGCCTGTTACAGAAAGTAAGATTCATGTTATTTTACCTAGAATTATTAAGCCATAAATAAGCTTAGAGACTGCCTTTTTTCCAAACCTTCCTTTATGATAGAAAAAAAAAATAAGACTCAGAGATATGGACTGAATTGTTCACACTTTTAAAGGAACATCAAGTAATTCCACAAATAAACACCAAAATTTACACAAATTTGTAAAAGCAACTCACTATTTTGTTCTCCTCAGTTGCCAAATTCAAATGCCTCATAAGTAAGGATTTACCTTGACTAAAGGTATGTTTGGCAATAGAAGGGGCAACAGTGACTAAGATGAATTGTACCCAAAAATTGGTATGTAGAATTAAAACCCTCGTGTATAGTAATAAAAATTGTGTGTTTTGCCGGGCGCTGGTGGCTCAATCCTGTAATCCTAGCTACTCAGGAGCCTGGGATCTGAGGATCGTGGTTCAAAGCCAGCCCGGGCAGGAGAGGCCGTGAGACTCCTATCTCCAATAAACCACCAGAAAACCGGAAGTGGCGCTGTAGCTCAAGTGCTAGAGCCCTTGCCTTGAGCTGAAGAGCTGAGGGACAGTGCCCAGGCCCAGAGTTCAAGCCCCACAACCGACAAAAAAAAAAAAAGGTGTGTTTTGGGGTTTATATTTCTAATTAGGTAGAAATTAATGACCAACTGTGAAGAAATGAATTCTCAGATATTTCAATGCCTAGCCAATCTTAAGTATAACTTCAGCCAGGCATCAGTGGCTCATGCCTATCTCAGGAGGCTGAGGTCTGAGGATCGCAGTTCAAAGCCAGCACAGGTAGGAAAGGCTGTGAAACTCTTGTCTCCAATAAACCACCAGAAAACAAAGTGATGCTGTGGCTCAAGTGGTAGAGCACTAGCCTTGAGCTAAGAGCTGAGGGATAGCACTCAGGCCCAAAGGTCAAGCCCCATGACCAACAAAAACTTCAGGAGCTTATTATATTCAATAGCCTTCCCAAAATTTTACCTTATTTCTAAGAAGTAGGAATACAGTGAATAATTTATTACTAAGAAGTTTATCTCCTCACCTGCTAGTCTTTAAAAAAAAAACAAATGTGTCCATGCTTGTTCCCAACAGTTAATATTACTTAATCTAATATTACTTATCTAAAAACAAGATTACACAATTCTAAAAATATGCCCATAAGCAAGTACATATCTATAAGGTTACCCAGACAAATGGAAAAAAAAAACACATATTCTGTAACTTGAATGGAATGATCAGTCTGTTTATTTTTCTGGATTGCTACGTAATTAGATCAGATTTGCTGAAAAGACATAAAATCACAATTTCATTCCTAAAACCAAACTTGTTAGTAAAATATGCCAGTGTAGCTCAGAAAGAATATATGTTTACTAGTTGGCGATAAAGAACAACTTCAATAAGATTAAAAGTACATAAAATTAAAATAATGACCAATGATGGGTAAGATTTGGATGTGACTAATGAAGATGTGTTTATAGAACAAGAATTAAGGGAAGGAGAGGAGTAAACTTAACAGTTATTGTATACCAGGCACTGGATCAACACTTTACCATTGTTCCAGATTAATGGTTTTAATCATCCTGACCACTTCACTCCTTTATAGGTAACAAATCGAACAATTAAGGAACTTTCCTAAGGTCACACAACAAGCAGGTGGAAGGGCTATGATTTGAATCTAGATAGGTTTGACTCCTAAATCCACAATGTTTTCCAGATTACCCACTAAAACAAATTAATTCAAAATCCAATTTTTTTGGCAGTACCAGTCAAGACCTCATGCTTGCTCAGGCTGCCTGCTCAGCTAGCACTATACCATTTGAAACATATCTCCAGCCTACTCTTTGTTGGTTATTTTGGAGATGAAATCTTATAGACTTTGCTAACCATCCTGGTTTCAAACCATGATCTTCCAGATCTCAGCCTTTTAAGCAGATCAGATTAGAGGCACGAGCCACCCATACCTGGCCAGTTCTAACTATACCTTGCACATGAACTGCAGGCTTTAGCTTTCTTCAGTGACTTCCTAAATTTTGACTCATGGTTCATCACACACCCCAATGAGGGAAGTTAATATGATCATCTGTCTGTGGGTGAGGTTTCAACAATGTGAGTTGAACTCCCAAATGACATGGCAAATAGGGGCAGGGTGGGGACTAGAATCATTACATCCTGACTCTATCTGTTGTTCTTTCCATCTTACTGTACTGCTTTCAGGTGCAAACGAGAATTTCTACATTAGAGAAAACATTCTTTATACTTCTTTCTAATGTGGCATAAGATACTATAGTTTATGAGTATGAAGTATAGATTATTCTCTTTCTTCCTATTCTATACAATCAAACCAAGTATAATTGTCTTTCATTTCTTTGATCTACATCATAATATCAATGCTGAAAGGACTAAATTTAAACCATACCATATGTCATAGCAAATGAGCATTCTTATCTTAAAAAAACAAGAGCCTATAATAAAAAATTCCATTTGTATAATAAATTAAAATAATATGGTATTAGATAAGATTGAACTTACATATAGCCATTGGTAGAAAAGATGTGCTAAGGTATTCAATAATATCCTTGTGCAGAAATGGAGGAAAGGTAGCTAACGTTGAAATCATCGTGTAGGGCAAAGTACTCAGAATATCATCATTGAGAAAGGGTAGCAAACATGTGGTTGTATAAAATATTGACTGCCCAAGATCTACAAAACAAAATCAGATAATCAGTCACTGAATATTTTGCCATTAACAAAAATATACTAATTGTATATTTTAATTCCTAGGGAACTGGCTTAAATTATCATAATAATGATTGTTCCTTTCCTGCTAAGTGTTCTAAAATATACTGCTAAGTATAGTCTGTCTTTAGGAGTTGGTCAGTAAGTGACTGATGATTGAATATATATATATATATATATATTAATACTTTTAATTCATGAGCTTTTCCTCAATCCTGAATCAATCAGAAATAATATTTGGTATTCATATTGCCCTTTAATCCCAAAATTCAAAATGCTTTCCATGCAAAATTGAATCCTAAGTCCTGTCCATTCTTATATCCACTAGATTATGTGCCCCCTAGAGTTTTCAGAAAAGCCAAGGGCAGAATTAGAAATAAGAGCAGCTTATTTCTGCTCTAGCAACCAAACTCAGTGGTCCTATATATGATTCTACTTGATGATCTACCCACATCTTACAATGAGTAATAGGACTAATACTTACCTCTCTTCATTAAAAGAGTTGTTAGGAGTTTAAATGAAATAAATACAAAGAGCTTGTTTAACATATAATGTGTGTTCCACCAATATTAGCTATTATTATTACCATCATTATTACCTGCATGAGAAGTAAAAATAGAGGACTTCCAAAAACATAACCATTTAGCTTTATAATACATATAGATCAAACACCATTAATGTACCTTTTGATATTTCTGAATCTCCCAAAATGTAAGCCACCAGTCAAGATTTAACAATGAAGAGTTATTATTTTTTAATTCCTTATAATAGTAAAATATTGGACTCCATGCTTTACAGCAGATTTGTCTTCTTAGAGGAGTTGTGTTGATTTCTAACATTACTTCTGATTGTCATTAGAATCAATATATTAATGCAACAGGCATGTCAACTGACAATGTGGCCACAAAGCACACTGCAGAACCAGGGCCATTCAACCCTTAGATCAAATCAATGAAATGGAAAATTGACATGTGTTTTACTAAGAATTACATGAAGCTGTGCATAGAAAACACTTCAGCTACTTTTTCTGAGCCTTTAAACCTAATTATAGAACATTAGCACTGAAAGGGGTCTGGGAGTATTATTTTTTAATATAAGGAATCTTAGACCTGCAGAGAAGTGATTATCCCAAATCACCTGAGCATGCATTGAACTGTGACAAAAATGCTGCCTAACATGCTTTGCTGTAGGTCACTCAGACTCAAGAGTAAGGACACAGCCCCTAACCGTAACATAGTGGTTCTCAATCTCAGTATGTAAAAGAAGCATCCATAGAAAGCATCTTACAAACACACCACACTGATTTTTATTTAAGAAATCCATGTTCCAAACTCCCTAGGTGATTCTGAGGTTCTTCAGACTACTCTTAGAGAAAGAAAGCTGCTTGGTTTCTCTAAAACATTCAAAAGAACAAACTGGTATGTTTTTCCCCTGTTTCTAAGTTCTGCTATGCAGAATAAAAACACAACAGACAATAAGGAAGAGTAAAGTCACAAAAATCTATATAAAAAGTACAAGAGCAAAAACAGGAATTATATTTTCTAGAACTTACTGCAGTGTCCACAGAAACTGCAATTAGATGGGTTGTAATTTACCAAATTGAATATTTTTATCTTAACCTAGTATACCATCCTAGGGGCAGAAAAGTCCACAGCAAATCCAGGACTGGCATCACAAAGGAAAGGTACTAACAAGCTCATGGCCATAGTGAGCTCTGACTGTCTTGTATTCAAATTTGTCACTTTCTGAGCTAGGAGATCATTGTAAAACAGCCTAGGCTTAAAACAGCTATAACAGTACAGGATAAGTAATTTTACAGATTTCTATATGTTTATACTACAAAATTGTAAATACCAGAAAAGAAAATCAGTTGTCATTATTTCATCATTTTTATGAAAGTAAATTTTTAATTAGGAACATATTACATTAAATAAATTAAGTATTCTCATAGGAGAGTTGGTTATATGAAAAGACAAAATAAGCCCACCACCCATACTTTTCCAAAATTCAGCTTTTCTGTACAATGAAACTTTGATTATCATACTTCCAGAAACCAAAGTATCAATGTTTTAAAGTGAAGACAATATTTTAAAGTGCATTTCACATAAAAATCTTCATTAACTGTATGCTTTTCCATTTGATTCTCCCAAATATATATTCGATAGTTAAGCAGAAAAGTATTACTGTATTTTTTATGAATTAGAACTTATTGAACAAGCAAAATAATGAAATTTACTAAATATATAGCAGAAAGGGGGAAGAGATAAAAAAAGAAGCATGCTCTCTAGCTTCTGTTCTAAAATACTGTTAAAGTTGTATACCATAACATTTTGGTATAGTAGAATGTTGTAGTGATTATTGGCTGTTAGATCAATTTGGAAGAGTTCCCAGACATTTTTTTTATCCAACCTCCTTATTTTGAAGACATGAAAAATGAATCCCACAGAGATTCTTTGGTTTGTTCCCAAAATACAAAGACCTGGTCATTGTCTTAGAGCCTAGTCTTCAAGCTCCACCTCTTACATATTCTAGAGACAAGTTCAAAAATTGTAGCTTTCTCAATTGTGATTTAAACAGGAGTCCTTACTATAAACCTAATCTAGGGAGAAGAGAGCTTCTTGTTTATCCTTCCTCCTGCCTCCAGCTCACTGGAACAACCTCCCTCAGAGTATAAGAATGTGTAATAATAGGCAGGGAAGCACCATAATTAAGTTTCAGAGTAAGAAAGGCTAAAACTAAATAAACTCTTTCAAAAGATGTATAACAATAACAACGGTCTCCAACCCAATTCCACAGCGTGGTATACATTCATAAAGAAACATGTAAGTTTTTCCCCAATCTCAAATACTCACCATGTTGGCCATGCTGTAGTAAAGGAACTAGATCCAGGAGAGTCACCAAAGTCACGTAGAGGCCTTGGTAGTCCAAAGAAGGGTAGTCTGACAACTGAGCATCACGACTTTGCTGGCCACGTTCTGAAGGAGCATCTCGCAGGACGCTGTAAAGGAGGGAGCGAGTAACAGTAGGGTTGATGGAACTGACCTGCGGTCTTAGAGATGGGGTGAGTGGGAATGGCACAGGAAAAAGACACATGGTCATGGGCACTGTCAAATTGGAGGCATCTTGGTTTTCCTTCTTCCCTGTGCGGGACAAAATGCTGTTGGGGGGACAAAGAAAAAAAAGAGACAACAAAGACACAAAGAACAGCACATTACATTGAAATGACACTCTAAAACAAATAATAAAACACCAGATACAACCCACATAAGATGCAATCGCCGCCAGCAGAGTCTACAAATCTAATGCTAGTCACGTAGCTTTGTGCTCAGAGATACCAAATAAAGCAGGTTCACTTTGTGGAAGTTTCATTGCATCTCATGTGTTATCTGGTTCATAAGGAGCAAAAATATAAAAATGCATGTTTCAGTGCCAAACCCATGTTTTACAGTTTGTCAATTTGGCCAAGGAGATGTTTCCTGGAAGGAAAACAATAGCTTTGTCTAACCAGTGAGGCTCTTATTCCTAATTAGAAGAAGCTTTCACAGAACATTTTTTAGCAAGACTCTTGATCTCGTAAATAGAAACTTGTAAAATATAGGTATGGCACTTGCAGAAACATGTTTTAGCAAAGAATAAACATGTGAGTTTATTAAGAAAGTCTTAAAAATCACATGTTTATTGCATCAAAATAATGTCTATATGTATATTATGATACTGTTTCATGACATTCTGTCAGTATCATTTGAGATAATGAAGTTTAAACAGGCATATGAATTTAGAAATAATACATATTTCTAAAATGTTAGCTAAACTACATTGGAAAAGCTATAAAATAAGATATAGTAGATGGTCAATAGCATATGCTTGTGAGCTAATGATAATGGGTATTTATGTGTGCAGTTTTTAATTTGGCATGTAGGGGAGGAAACATTTTATTTTATGAATACAAACAGTGGCTTATTATATAATTACCTTGAAAATTCTAAAGACTAAGAGAGCAGTATCTGCCATAGAGCTGCACATGATACAATAAAATCTCATATATTACTGTTGCTACTTACATTATTCAACATAACTCACTAAGAACTAAAGGAAAGATAATTTAGAAAGTTAAATAAAATTTTAATGGGAAAAATAACTTCTAAAAATGAATTGTTTTTCTTTTAGTCTTAATTTTAAAATAAAAACTTTTAGTAAAAACAATAAGGTAGAAAAGTTATTAATTTTAAAATAAAAAATAATGCTTATGCAAATGTTTAAGTTTTAGAAATTAGATTATATTATTTATCATTAAAGATAATTGCTATACATTATAATATCTACAGCACTTATGAAGTGCTTATCAAATTACACTTATATATTAGCCAAAATATATAACAGATTATAAATGTTTCATTACATGAAAATAACTTTGTTTTACATTTATTCCATGTACATTAAACATTACTAAATTCTTAGTTAATGAGCTTACACCTACAGTTTTACAGTGATGTGAAGAACTGGTTAGTGTTAAGCATGCTTGTTACACCAAATTTTCATTAATTTTAATTTATTCTTAGTGCAAAAATATGTTACAATGTAAGAAAATGACTACATGCTTTTTTATGTGCCTAATTTACCTCAATCTCCTTTGTCTTCTGTTACCCAATGTCCAGGGGAAAACAATTGATAATAAAAATAATTTCAGAATAGTTATGTAATATTTCTTAGCAACAAGTATCTTAAGATTTGGTATAACTTCTGTTTTCACTTTTAAAGGGATTTAATTTACCTTGTGTGTGTGTGTGTGTGTGTAGGTATGTGAGTGCACATGCATGTGCAATATGTGGGTAATGTATTTGACTTTTCCCACTTATACTTTCCAATGGGATATCCACATTCCAGTTACCCCTGCCTGCCTACACCTGTTATAAATGCCATCAGATTTCCGTCAAACTATACTTTTATTATATAACTTAGTTACTCCAAAGAGTACCACCTTTAAATGTTATATTCTTGATAAACCCCATTACCAACAATAAGATGTTGTCCTATTGAAAATGCCCTTAGAATCATAATGGATATGTCAGTATGTTAATTGTCAAACTTCAGTCCTAAATTGGTCAACTCAGATGTGGATCTTATAGAAGTGGTATAAGAACAATGCTTTCCCTTAGAGAATCAAAATAGCTGAGTATTATTAATTAATACTATTTAAACTACTTTAAGCTCAGTGCACTCAACAAACTTCTCCTTGGTGGGGAAATATAACACACTGGTTTTTCCTAATATAGCTCACTATTTTTCCAATGTTGAATACATGTTAACAAGCACTAACAAAATTAACTTTGGAAGCTCTGCTTTGATATTTCCCTTCCTGTGTATGTGGGATTCCCAAATGATAGCAACAATAGCTTCCCACATGCAGGGAGGGAAGAATGTCAGCATTGAAACAGTAGAACTCTCTCGCTGCCTTTAGATTTAATAAATAGGTGAGGTTGAGAAAAATGAAGGAAAATGAGTAATCCATGAAACCAGTTATATTTGCCATTCATGTCTCAATGCAAGGAAATGTTTTCATTTGTGAAAAAAACTTAAGAAGGGCTCATGAATAAATGTATAATGCATTGTGATTTTATGATGTTTTGTGAAGTTTATTCAGAGAAAAAAAAAACTTATTTCCCCAACCAAACTCTCTTTACTTGGGAATCATCAAATGATATTCCCATCTGAAATTCTTTCCCAGAAGTCTAGAGGCTAGACCAAAAAGAATATTAAGAATGCCCTGCTTAGAAGAGTCTGAACCAGCAGCCAACTTTTCATCTTTCCTTTTCACCTCCTGAGGTCCTCTTTCATAGCATTGGTTTTCATTATCAAGAGAAGGCAAGAGAAGGCCTCTGTGGGTGTGGGGAAAGATAGCTAACTGTCCTGAGGTATTGGTAGCACAGAAAATGAATATGCCAATGACTTCCCTATACAATTATGAATTTTGATATTTGAATTGTATCTATACACTAAACAAAATGTATTGCAATATGTTTTGCTTTAAAGCTACTCTATGGACAAACCAATTAACTTAACATTCTCCAGGTCCTTCCATCCTGATTGGGTATAATCCTCTGTGTGTGTGTGTATGTGTGTGTGTGTTTGTGTGTGTGTGCACACGTGTGTGTGCGCGCACGTGTGTGTGTGTGTGTGTGTGTGTGTTCTCCTAAGCAATTAAACATTAGCATTTAATTAAGATTATTGTTACGGGACTAAAATCTCCTTTAAAAAACATATTAAGCTTTTTTTAAAGCGTTAGGACAGGAGGGCTGGGAAGGTGGCTCAGTGGTAGAGTGCTTGCCTTGCATGCCGGAGGCCCTGGGTTCCATTCCTCAGCACCACATAAGCAAAAAGAAAAAAGCCAGAAGTGGTGCTGTGGCTCAAGAGGTAGAGCGCTAGCCTTGAGCTGAAGAGCTGAGGGACAGCGCCCAAGCCCAGAGTTCAGGCCCCACGACCGGACCCCCCCCAAAAAAAAAGAGTTAGGACAGGAAACTTTTCCCCAAATGTAATGCATTTTGTTTTGTTTTGTTTTTTAATTTTCAGCTTTTGCACTTGCACCACAAGAAAGATTCAGGAGAAGGAATTACAAAAGAATGCCTGGGACAGGAAGAAGACTAAGAACTCTGAAAGATTCTACAGGGTGAGAAGCAAAATCCTTAAAGACTTTAGAAGCTTAAAATACGATCACAGAATGCTTTTAATGTAAAATAAACAGACGCCTCTGTGGCAGGGAGGGGATTAAACTTGATGATCATCTTTGCAGTTACTTCTAATACTAACAGCAAACAAAAAATTCTATTCATCCATCGGAGAGAATGATACTGTACCATTCGTAAGGAAATGGAAAGACTTGGAAAAATTCTATTATGTGAAATAAGCCAGACTCCGAATTTAAAAAAAAAATTGCCTGGTTTCTCTCATTTGTGGTAGCTAGAATGTGCCTATAAATCTGTAAGTAAACACATTGGGTACTATGCAAGCAGTTACAAAAGAATTAACTGAAGTATGATAGACTCTATGGAGAGCTCAAACAGTATAATTCTTTGGAAAGACTAAGTCAAAGCTCAGTAAAATAAGAACCAGAAATGGGTACTTGCAATAAGGGCGGGGCCGGAAGAGACGGTAAACAAGGGGAAAAGGGAGAAGAATGCAGTCAAGAATTTATTGTATATTCCGTAAAAATAAGAAAAATAAGGGAAGGGATGGGTCAAAGTGAGGTGGTGACGATGTTGAAAGGATGACACAGTTCAGCGTGCATTGTAAACATACACAGCTTTGTTAAATGGAAAAACAATTCAATGTGTAGCCTAAAAAATTAAGAAAAGTGAGGGAAAGGGTGGGCTGGCAGGAGTGGGTGGGAACGTTGAAAGCACGATGTTGATCAGACACAATGTATTCATAAACTGTTTTGTTGAATGGCAACTCCTTGGTACAACTACTTAAAAGAAAATAAAAATACTTTTTAAAACAAACCCTAACCACTGATGTTGTATATAAAGTAAGTGTTTACTGTCAAACTTAAAACTCTATTAAGTTAAAAAATGAGTACAAGGACTGGGAAGGTGGCTCAGTGGTAGAGCGCTTGCCTTGCATGCCTGAGGCCCTGGGTTCTATTCCTCAGCACCACATAAGCAAAAAGAAAAAAGCCGGAAGTGGCGCTGTGGTTCAAGTGGTAGAGCGCTAGCCTTAAGCTGAAGAGCTGAGGGACAGCACCAGGGCCAGAGTTCAGGCCCCACAACCGGACCCCATCTCCCCCAAAAAATGAGTACAAGTTAGTACTCAGATGTAATTTGACCTAGAACCCTAGGTCACTGTTAGATTCACATAGAGTCACGAAGTTTTCTGCACTGGATGAAATCTGGACAAAACTCAATTCAATAAATAGTCACTAATCTCCTTTTACCATTCTCAGAGCAAGGGCTAGTACACTAAATATTACACCGGACTTCCTTCTATACCTAGAGTTAGGGAACCTCTACAGGCTCTAATATACATCTAATTATGAACTAAGTAGACATATGCAACTCTTTAACTGTTTTTTTTCCTCTTTTTTGGGGGGGAGATGGCAGGAGAGGGTGGAGAGGCTTGAACTAAGGGTCCTGGGCACTGTCCCTGAGCTTTTTTGCTTAAGGCTAGCACTCTACTACTTGAGCCATGGCACCACTTCCAGCTTTTTCTGAGTACTTTATTAGAGATAAGAGTCTCACTGCCTTTTCTACCTAGACAGGTTTCAAACAATAATCCTCAGATCTCAGCCTCCTGAGTAGCAGGATTACCAAGATTACAGGCGTGAGCCACCAGCTGGCACTTTAACAGATTTTATAATCAACTATGATAACATATAGTCTTTCCTCTCCTGTGGATTAAATTAATTGACGCTAACTAAACATCTAGGCTAATCTCAGCTTTTCAAAATAGGTACAAAATTCTATTGAAATTAGTGAGAGCTGCATATATTCATGAATACTAGATAACTGTTGCTGTGAAAATATAATTCTGACCCAGATAAAGTTGATGGAATTTTTAGAAAATATAAAGTGTTGTTTTGTTGTTGTTTTTCTCCTTTGAGGACTTTGCTATGTTTCTCAAGTTGGCCTTCAACTTGTGAAGCTTAGCTTCCCAAGTGCTGGGATTTTAGGCATGAACCACCATGCCCAGATTTTTCTTTTGTTTTCTTTTTTTGGCAGTCCTGGGGCTTGAATTCAGGGCCTGGGCACTGTCCCTGAGCTTCTTTTGCTCAAGGCTAGCACTCTATCACTTGAGCCACAGTGCCATTTTCTGCGTTTTGTTTATATGGTACTAAGAATCTTGGAGCTAGAATTTGAGCTCAAATTTGAGCTCAAGATTCTTAGATAATTCTGAGCAACTTATTTAGCCATTCTGTGACAATTTCATTATCTGTACAAGGAATATAATAATCTACTTATAAAATTATGAGGTAAATGACATGTCACATTTAAAGTACTCAGAGCAGTGTCTGATATATGTAAGTACAATTGCTGTATATATTGTTGTGGTAATCATAATTCATGTTTCTGATCAAATAGTTCAACTGCACAAAATCTTCTCCAACAAATTGCCTGTACAAGCTACCTTAACCCTAGCTTCACCATTAAACTGCTAAAATGATCAAATACTAATGCAATTGGCTCAAAAAAAAAGAAAGAAAGAAACATGACTTTAGTACCCTAAATTTCTTTACTTTCTGGTCAATTCTACATCCTAAGTAGCAAGCTCTGAGGTGCCAACAAGGTGTCACTGCTTTTCAAATGGAATTCGTAGAACTTCCTACCAAAAATGTGCCTCTCATTTTAAGGACTTTTACAACTTGTGATCAATAAAAAAGGCTTCTCATTGAGATCCCTGACCTCAAAGACAAAAGGAAAATTCAAGAAAATAGAATCAGATGGGTTTGTTAATAAATTTATCTTATTATTACTATGAACACTGAGTTAATTAATCTACCACCATTCAATAAGTAAATGACCTATACCATAATCTTACACTTAACTGTGCTATGCTAATACATGGGTTTAATTGACAGAATCCTTTCAAGTAGTGATACTCAATGAAAAGACAGCCCAAAGAAGAACAGAGAGATGGGAACTGCAAAACAGTAGCTGCTTGATTTCCACAGGATGTTCCACCCAAAAGCCCATGGCAAAGTGGTATCCTGCTATAAATAGCTCCAGTGTCATGACAATCATTCCAAATTTGTGTTCTTCAATAAATAACTTACAAACCCTATACTGCAAAATACCTAAAAGAAATCATAGCAAGTCAGCCTATGTGCTTCTTTAAAGCAGATCTGAAATGAGAAGATCATGGTGATGGAAAAGACCAAGCCTGGGAATTTAATGAGAAGTGAAATGCTCTTTGAACTTTTCTGGTATCATTTCTCAAAACAACTGAGCCCTCGCTGGAAAGGCGCATCTCTTTGCGTGTGGGTATGAGTGAAAAGCGTGATACAGAATGGTCCCTCAGGTCTCTACCTTGTAGTAAAAATAGTCAGTATATAATAAGAGCTCATTTGGGTTTTTGTTCCTTCTCCTCCACAAAATTTCAGTATCAATCAGAAAGCATGTTTAATACTTGAAGTGGTACACAGACCAAAAAAAAAAAACAATTTTTACTACCATATACTGCGCTTAAAGCAACAGAAAATACTAGTGATGAACCACCTAAAATATGATTCTGATTTTTAGACTAAAAAGTGTTTCCTGGTTTTTCATTTTAAATATGTAAGCTCTCCTTTTAATTCCATGCTGTGTTAGTGCCAAATATAGACCTTTTATATATCTCTTGAAAAGACATTCAGACTGTGGAAAGCAGGCAACAGGCATGCCACCATCTTCCAGTTAGCCCTAGATTCTGATCTGCTATATACACCCAGAGGACTGGAGTCCAGACTCTTCTGACAAGAGCACTAGAAAACGTAATGCCTTTCAAAACTTTCAAGTCAATAAAAATTTAGGTCCCAATAAATTCAATAGTACTATCTAATAGTTGTCTCAAAGTAGAGGATATTTTCAGGCTTACCTTAACAAAGTTTGAGAAAAGTACTTCAGGGTGTTTGCAATATCTGTTCCTGATGGTACAGGATAAATGTTGTGAAGAACCCGGTTATGATATTCCTGCAAGTACCGTATCTTGGAAGCAACTAGATAAAAGCAAAAAAACAAAAACAAAACAAAACAAAAAAAGAAGAAAAAGAATCATCTTGTAATATGTATTAGGCATACAGATGTTTTTAATAATTATAGGAATTTAATCAGTGTTTCAAGGAACATATGTCATTTTTATTGAAATTTCATAATAGAAACAATTATAAAACACCTTTAATTTCTTCTAATTGTATTCAGTACTCAAAATTATTTTAGTCATCTAAATTAATACCCTATTTATGAATTGTACGTTATTTTTAATCAGTAAGAAAAGCAATATTCCAATCATTTTCTAATTACTCCCAAATGAGCTAATTCTGAGCAAAGTAATAATAGATATGTCTCTGTCACTAGACAGTTATATTTAATATTGCTTAACTGAAATTGAGAAAACTCAAAGGTCTAAAACTGCTTTTAAAAGGGGGCGGAGTCCGTTGCAAATGCCATCAACTGAAATCAGATTTTTTTTAACTTAATAAGGGATCATGAAAGTATGTTTAGTTTGATTATGTCAAGTTAATGCTTGAACTGTGCATATATGTTAAAGGTAAGTTAACTTGGTGAGTATTAAGAAAGAATACAACCATGGTGCAGTAATTAAACATTTTAAATGTCACATTTTTCTTCCAAAGAATTTCATAAATTAGAACTCTTCCTAATTGCTTGCTGAGCTTGGCTGCTCAGGAGTACTAAACAGGTTTATTTACCCTCCTAGACCTACCTGGAATCACCAGCATTGTCCACATTCCTGACCTGACCTTTGACCTGGCTGTAGTGAATGGCCCAGTTCTAGTCATTCCTCTTTGCAAATCCCAAGGAGCCATGATGATCAACGTCTCTCTGGTCTCCTCTTCCACAGAGTTCTCAATAATGTCCATTTGTTCTTTCACTCTTTAAGGCTATCAAGGGAGCCTCTTAGGTGGTATGGCTCACTGTCAGTGGTTAGCAGAAGACATATCAAGTCCTGGAGATGCAAGGCTTTGCTGTTCCCAATTGCCCATGGAAATAAGCTCCTGGATGCATTCTAACTGAAATGCTAGCTTAAGCAACTTAAAAAAAGTCAAAATTCTTTTGACAGGCATGGGACTTAGAATCACAGAATAATAAAGTAGCAGAACTGGGAGAACCTTAGAGACCATTTCTCACACCCACTTCACTTTAAAGATGTGAAAATGATGCACACAGTTGAGCAATGGCAGAGCTGACCACTCTGATTTCCTGACTCCCAATCCAATGCTCTTTACACTATGACATACTCTATAACACAATTTAAATTAAGTCAATATGACATAGTTATGTGCATATGTCATTACATAACAATTTCTAATAGTAATAATTAATTCTAAAACCTATCTACACCATTTTTCAGATTTGCTTTTTCTCCTTTCTACTTTCTGAGCTATTTCCATAATCTGTTTAATATTTTCCCAGAAAATAAATCTACAATGCAGATAATGTCTTGAATTTATATAGTATATTAGCTCCCAAAGTAAGTATCAAGATCATATCTATTCACTCAACTCTGTTTAGTCCTAAACAACTTTCTGCTTAAGAAAGTTTAAGTAGGTGATATTTGAAAACATATCAATTCTATAATCTACAAAAATCTACTTTCTTCTTAATGTTTTTGATCTGTCATTCATCATAGTTGTCACAGTACAATGAACCTCCAGATTAATACATAGTTCCAGGTTCCAAATATCTGATATTTATGCTAGGTCAGCATATGACCTGTTCACCCACCATGACAATAATGCTTTGTTACTGTGACATTTCCCAAGCTTTAATATTCAGCATGTTTCTGTAGTGTATTTCAAGAATACCATTAATCATTCCAACATCTAAAAACCAAAGTTGATGACAGTGCAAGGTATAGACAAAAAGCTCAAATGAAGAGAAAGTCTAAAATTCTCCAACTCAATGTCTTGTTCATAGTTCAAGAGCTCTAAGTCACTACATAATGATCATAAGCATTTAAAAATCTTTATAAAATGAATGGATTTTATAGGTCTTTTTCATTAAAATGCATTAATTCATTTCAAAAGATATCCAAAAGTGCATGAAAAAGCAGACTAATATTTTACAAATTTCATGGCATTGCCTTTGTTTACTCACCTTTCTATTTTCTATACCAAGTTGCAAATTTCTTAAAAGGTGAAGACTATATCTTCCACATGTCACTATTCCAAGCCTAACACGCTGTCTGGCACTTAGGGACCCAATATGTTCAAAAGATTAACTGAGCAATGAATTAATACTTAATAACAGCATTATCACTAGGTTATCTATAACATTTATACATATATCTGTACACATATATACCTATATCTGTAGACCTTTTAGTGTCAAACACCTAATAGGTACTTAATAAATTAGTAATGAATTAAGGTAGAAAGAGGGTGCATGAAAGAAAGGAGGGGGCAAAAGAAATAAAGGAGACAAAGAAGAAGGAAATGTTAAGTAAACAATTTATACAATAGGTTGGAAGTATATTCAATCTACTTTTTGTAATGGTGCAAATAACAAAATCGCAAAAATCAAAGATTTAGCTTTCACACTTTCATCTACTTGAAAACAACCAGAAAGGTCCCTGGCAAACAGTAACTTGTAGTTGTGCTAAGGATATGAATAAAATTCTTTTTCATTTCAACCTTGTACACAACAAATGGTCAAGATTAATAAGCCTATGTGAGCACCCAGCACCCCATTAAAGCACAGAATTCTTGTTCTTTACTTCACAGATATACCAGCCTATTACTGCAGAGACTCAAATAACTGGGCAGCACTGCTGTGTACAAATAATCTCCAGCCTCACCTGAAGCTACCTCTACATTTCTCTAGCTATCTTATATTCTTTTTCAAATACAGTTACATGCTCTTTGTAACTCCCTCTACATCCACTTCATTCTTTATACTTTTAAAAGCCATCTGTTGGGTTAGAGTTGTGGTGCAAGTGGTAGAGCAATTGACTAAATATGCTCAAGGTCCTGGATTTAATCCCCAGTATCACAAAAAAGGAAAGAACCATATGTTATGAACTAAATTCTGTGTCTCTGTCTCTGTCTCTCTCTGTCTCTGTCTCTCTCTCTGTGTCTCTCTCTGTCTCTGTCTTTCTGTCTCTCTCTCTCTCTCTCTCTCTCTCTCTCTCACACACACACACACACACAAAATTCATATGCTGAAACATTAACCCCAAAATGTAACTGCACTTGGAAATAAGGCCTTTAAAATGGTGACTATGATCAAATAAAGGTGTTAAGGTAGTGTGACCTAATCCAATCTGTCTGGTGTCCTTTTAAGAAAAGATTAGGACAAAGAGCTGAGTCAAGTGAGGACATGCAAAAATGTGGCCATCTGTGAGCCAAGGAGAGAAGCCTCAGGAGTGACCCAATCTGCCAACACCTTGGTCTTAGACTGCAAGTCTCCAGAACTGTGCGAGAAAAAAAAATGTCTGTCATTTAAGTAACTCTGCGATACTGTTATGATGGTCTGAGAAAACTCATACACCATTGCAGAGGAATATCTCTAAATAAGAGCTGAGAGTGCAAACTCTGAAACCAAATAGTTCTGAAATAAGACCTTGGCTCTATGTCTACTCCACCTATTTCCCCACTTGTAAAGTGGAGATAATTATATCAATGTCAGAAGGCTATTTTGAATATACATCAGTCTGTGCAAATCACTTAGCATTGTAACCAGCACATATTCAATATACAATTGGTATTTTTTAAAAATCTACTTACATCTCTTTTCCCCTGGTATCAAAGATGAAAAACCCATCATGAGAGCCTTCAATCTATCAGCTAGTCCTTTTACTTCATTAATACCTCCTTCTTTCCTAAATCATTCCCACCAACATTCAGACTAACTCTGGAATCTTCCTTGTCAAAGGAAAACAAAACCTTCCCCCAGGACTTTGTTCCCCACCAGTTACTGGCCTCTGACTTCTGAGACAAAGTTCCTGCGTTGAGTTAGGTGCACATTCTCTTCACTCCTTCACTTCTTGTTTGACTCTCCCTTACTCAGGTCTGGCTTCTTCCTCCACCACTGCACCGAGTCTACTTTGCCTAGAACCATCCCCTTTAGATTGCCAAATTCCATGGACACAGTCATCTGTCACTTTGCTAGATCTTTCAACTCACTACACATAGACAGTCCCTCTTCAGTCTCACTATTTTCTTCCCTTGGCTCCCCTATACCACTTTCTTCTGGGCTTCCTCTTCTTGAACATATTTCTACCTTACCCCACTATATCGCCCATTGCATTGGAATTCATCATTGTTCAACCCTAGGCTCCCTGTTCCTCTCTGGCAGTATCTTCCATAGGCATTCCAATTCATCCATATGGCCATCAATATTATTCCTGGGCCAGATATTATTCTTTTTTTTTTTTGTCCATCATAGGGCTTGCTCTGGGCCTGAGCACTGTCCCTCAGCTCTTCAGCTCAAGGCAAGAGCTCTACCACTTAAGCCACAGTGTCACTTCCAGCTTTTGCTGTGTCTGTGGAACTGAGGAATCAAACCCAGGGCTTCATGCATGCTAGGCAAGTACTCTACCACTAAGCCACATTCCCAGCCCCTGGGCCAAATATTCTTAAATGTTCATCTCTCAAGCCCCATTACCAGCAGAAAAATAAGTAAATAAATATTCATCTCCAATCCAGATGCATCTTTTTTTGAGTAACAGACTCATCTACCTAATATCTCTACTTGAGAATCATGAAGATAACTCAAAGTAAATAAATATATCCAACACTGAAAACTCTCCCTCATCAAAAGAAAAACTATCTACTTCATGTCATTTGTGCAAAGTATTCTGAAAATCATCCTTATATTTCCTCTTTAACTCTCATAATCTAATTCATCCCTAAATCCTATCAATGGTACCACCAAAGTACATCTCCAAGATTGGCCTCAGCTTTCATCTTCAGTGTCATTACTCTGTACTACTGTCTCCTAATGAATTCTAATAGTCTCTTCACTCATCTTCCAATTT